CTGTTTACAGGGGTGGGAGGGGGAAGAGGGAAGAACTTACATGTAAGCTGGCAATAACCTTGCTCTGTAGATTGAGATAGAGGTTATGTGCCTCATTTGCCGCCCAAGACCGACCATAGATAAGGATATTTCGCCAAGCATAGTTGAAAGCCACACGCAGGAGAAAGTCTTGCATTCGGCTCCAAGGTAAGGAGTATCGGATTAACCACATCACTAGGAGTTGATTCAAGACCCTCATTTCAAACACCGTGTTTTGAGCGTAATTGTGGATCTTATCTTCATCGTGGTTTTGCTTATTGAATTCGATTTCCATTGCTGTCAGAGGTAACTTAGCCCCAAAAGCGATTGCGTCTGATCGTCCTGAGCAGGCATGACGCTCCTTGGTGCCGTCACGGTGCTTGGTGAGGTTTGAGTTTGTCCCCTTGCTTTTCTTGTAAGGAGCTGAACACCACTTGCATCTGTGCGAGGATTTGTCTCCCTAAAAACAAGATCAGAAAGGCCAATGTTAGTCATGAGAAGAAAAAAATGGTAGAGGATCATGAAAAGCAAGAAATAATTTACAGTGTCACCTTTGTTGGCGTGGTATGGGGGCTCAAAGTACTCAAGGATGTCATCAAATTCACTGTCTTTCTTTGATACCTTCTTGACCTTTGAGTTGTTGTGGTCTGAGTCTTGAGTGATGTCAATCGCCCCTCCAACTTGATCAGAATCATCCTCGTTATTGGTTCGAACCACATTTTTCTTCTTCTTCTTCTTCTTTTGCTTGGATTTGGCTGCACTAGCATGACTTTGGTCAGTTGAAGACGATATTTGAGTCCGATGTCGCTTGCGTGACTGTTTTTGGAATGGCTGGGTGCTCTTAGTCTGAGAAACTGACTCGGTTTCACTCTCAGGGTTTGGAGTTTGGATTTGTCTGCTAGTCTGTGGTTGCAAAGATCGCCGAGAGTCTCGGTTGGATCTGACAAAATTTCCATGAGAACGCTGTGGTGGCGGGAGCGCGCCTTGACCAAAGCTTTGGCCGGTTTGTTTGGGGCATGCGGAATGCTCGCGGCGCTGATGCGGAAAGCACGCGGAGCTGACGCTACATAAGCAGGCTGAGGAAAGCGGCGGTGCATTAGTGGAAAGTCAAGCTTTCCGAGGCGCGGGAAAGTGGAGAAAAGTAGACCGAATGCACAAGGTTCTGAAAAGCTTACTGCGGGGAATCCGGGCATCGGCGGACGCCGGGGATCACGGCCGACTGCGGAACGGGGGTTCAGTGTATACTGCGGAGGGGCTACAAGGAGCGGGGAGCACCGAGGGGCGGAAGCGGGGCTCGGAGCGGACCAGAGGCGGAAGCGGCGGTGGGAGACCTGCTCAGGAGCGGCCGGAGGAGTACCTGGACCGACAGGCGTCGGAGGGGTGACATGCGGAGTCCGAGGGGGTGACAGCGGATGACAGCGCGGGAAGCAGGAAGGGACTGGAGTGTGGGAAACTGAGGAGGAGTGGACTTCGAGGCAGAAGAGGGGGGAGAGAGGGGGACTTATGACTCGGAACATATCAGAAAACAGAGAGACTTAGGAGTGAATCGTGTATTAGCCTAAAGAATTGTTAGAGATAGATTAGAGTTAGAGTATTACCTACAAAAAGAACAATAAAAGAGAGCTATTTTACCTACCTACAAGACCATCAAGCAAGTTACCCCGGATAACAAATCGAGGTAAGACGCGTTGCGGAGCGGAGAAGTACGAGAAATACTCGAGGGCGCGCCTTTCTTTCCACAACGCAAAGGAGTTGTGATTCGACTAGACTGACGGGATGGTGTTTGCGAGGGAGTTCCACGAGGGGAAACAGATGATCGGGCCATTCTTGTGTGAAAGAACTCAAAGAACTAGGAGATTTATTTCTGTCATGAGAAAGTATTTTTCTATATACAACACTGTATCATGTAGGATGTGAAGAAAGAAAAATAGAACTGAGTGGAGTGAGAGAGAAAAAGGGATCTACCTTGGTTATTCTGCCAAAGAGTTTCAATCCTGATGTTTCAACTTTTTGTGTGTCACTATACAGAGTGTCATAATTTTCATGTTAGTTTGCTTGGTCTGTAACTATCTGGAGATGTTATAGAAATCAGAATCTTACCTGATCACCTCAGTTGGTTGTCCTGACTTGAATGTTTCAGTTGGTTGCTGAATCTCTGACAAGTTGGCTTCTGCATACATGTTAAACACATTATGTCAGCTGGAACCTTAACTGGTTGGGGTTGCTTATAGTTGCATATGTAAATTGGCTTGCTGAAGTTATGGCTTACCTATTTCACCTGCTGCTCTTACAGTTTTCCTCCTCTTATTAGAGGACGTGCCAGAGCCTAGAATCTGACAGGGTGGAGGGTGGTGGTAGAAGATGAGGCAGGATGATATGATAGTGTTAGGTTAAACAAGTGAAATCTGATTGATGTTGGTGATGAAATCCAAATTGATTCTGGTACTGGAAGAATGCTGGCACTGGTAGCAAAATCTGATTAAAAGAGTCCAATCAAGGTCAGTAAAGGAATGAATGCATTGATTTTGGTGGACAGGCAAGCAGGAGGGTGAATGGTGGAAGAGGCAAAGCAATAGAGGAAGAGGCCAAGGGATGAGGATGCTGGGACAAGGGTGACTTCGGCCTTGACAGATTCGTCACCACTCTGACTCTTCACAGCAAGTTCGCGTAGCTCGGCCCGGTGTGGAACTACCCGGTGGGATCAGATAGAGTGTGGAAGGGTAAATGCGCCGTGAATAAGGCTGCCCTCCGGTAAAAGGTGATAAGGTAGTAGACAAGGAGAGTTCAAATACTCTCTGAAGATGTGGTGGACAATTTCTGACTAGCAAGGTGTGATAATATTTTCTAAGTACTTTACCTGAGGACTTTACCTGAGGACTATGAATAAGGACAATAACTAACTAAGTGACCAGGCTGAGCACGTCAGGGAACTGATGATGGAACAAATGATGAGGGGAAAACATGGCTCCTTATATACAAAATCTGGGGAGTGGCCAGCTTGTGGTTTGAGAAAAGGATCAAGTGAAAAATATCAAACTGAAACACCACGGCCCAGAAGGTGGCTGCTAAGACCAAAGAGGACACAATGACATAGCCTGCTTTCCCAAAAGGGTGCGTAAGTCTGAGACGCGCATAGCCACATGCAGGCGCATGCATAGAAGTAAGAGACTAATCCTCAAGTGGTTGCATTAGTGTGAAACAGAAAGATAAGAGAAAGAGGAGTGCATATGCAGCAGCTCCAGAAAGAGAAAGGATGAAACAAGAGAAATCAAGGAGGGTTCCTAATACCCTGGCTCTGTCTGAGGGGTGACTTTCTTCCCCCCACGTGTGGTCTGGGTGCCTTGAGATTTCTATCTTGAGGACCAAGGTGTTTGGGCCTTCCTGTCCTGATTGTACGGCGCATTGAGGCATTGATGTTTTGATTTGGCTTACCACATCCACCCCCAAATTGGATGATGTCCCCATCATCTGGACTTCTTGAGAGACTGGCGGAGCTTTCTTTCTTCTGTTGATTTATTTTTGATTTGATAAAATTTATTCAGATAATTTTTTATGTGATTTTTCATTTTACCGGGAGACTTGAAGTATGTAACAAAAATGAAGTGAAAAGAAGAAGAGGAAGAAAAGAAAAAAAAAGTGACTATGGCAGATACCAGGGGCTAGTCTTAGGCTCGGGGACGCTTAGAAATTCGATGTAAGAGGGGGCTTTCATCTTGTGCTTCTTGCTTGGTAGAGTCCTCCTTGGTAGCTATGTGTACAGGGGGCCTAACTACTCTAACTAATTTAACGTGGAGGCAAAGACCGTCGGCGGTAGCGCCGTCCAATTCCTCGACTGCGCTGACTGCGGACGTATAAGAAAAAAATTCAATGGTGGCCGAGACTGATGTATCCTGGCCGTCGTAATGTTGCTTTAGGGAGCAGCGCAGAATTTTTCCAAACTGGCTGAAGGAGGTCATTACGTCAGCAAGACTGGTTCCTTCAGCCAGGTTGGCTATATTGATCTTCGTGGTCTGTTGAGCAGCGGGCATAATGCGGTCAATGAGCGGCATCACGTCTAGGATTTGGGCTGTTAGTCGAGGCTGGATTGACTTCAGGAGCGGTTGGGTTGTCTGTGAGGTGCTCTAGGATGGGGGGGGTTGTCTATCTACATACAAGGCAGGGCCTTCCTTTTCTTTTTACCTGAGCTGGAAGCAATAAGCGACCAAGTCTGGCCAGAACAGCTAGACGACCGTTTCAGAGCGATCGGAAGCGGCTTGTAGTCGGAAGGGGACGAATGTTCCGGGTCCAAGGGATCCCAAAAGAAAACGGTAGAGTGGTGGGCCGAGTCCGTTGGAAAGCAGGTCAGGGTCGTAGCCACATTGAATCACGAAATCGGCTCGATCCGCTTTCGTCTAGGGGGGGGTAGTAGTACGAGGCGGGTAGCCTCAACAATTCTTGGCCGATACCAAGTGACCGAGGATATTGACTTAAACAAATTGGTCAACTGAAACCCAAACCGTTTTAGAGGGATACATAACAAGAGCTCAGCAGAAAGAGGAGCATCGTTCCCTTTCCGAGTGGAAGACAGACGCTGACGACGAAACAAACACGGTACATGGCCGAGCCTCGAGAGCGGCCGGAACCATTACCTCCCAGATAAGACCGGTCTTCCTCGTTTTGCACGGGACCGAGTCGTAACGACTTCTTTTTAGCCTGATCAGTTTCCTCTTCGAGCGACACCTTTTTTTCAAAGGAGCCATCTCGTTCCTCTTTGAGCATTCGTTTGTTTTATCGAGCCCTGAATGGGGCTTGTTCCTAAGAGACCGAGAAGCGGGAAAGAGAAGAAAAAAAAGAAAAAAAAGAAGAGAAAAGAAGCGAGGAGGGGGAGGAGCTTGGTGCTGTAGCCGCTTCGTGTTTGGACATAAAAGGAGGGGGGGGAATCGGCCTCGTTTCTTTCTCATCATCCGGGTCAATAAGTCCTCTCCTTATATAAAACAGCCGCGATGTCTTTCAACGGCGAGTGGATACCTGGCGCTACCTTTTCTGGTCGCGCTTTTCCTGACAGCGCAGTCGATACCTCTTTGGCCAACGCTAGCGCTCCTCGTTCAACCGACGGAGATTCTATCGCTTCTGAAGAAGGTTCCATCGCCTCCGATGACGAGTCTAAAATTGCAAACGATGAAATAACCGATAATAACACCACCGACAATGTTGCTGACTTAATCGATCCTAATGCGGTAGCCTTTGCAACAGGTGCATCTCCGCCTGCTTATCGCCTGGCCGCGCTGCCTCTTGGTTCTCCTGAGAACCCAATCGAAATAGAGGATGAAGATGCGGCTAGCCACCCAGGAAATAATGAAGAAATGAATGACTATGGGCGACTAGACAGCCCCAGGTTTGATCCAGTCGAGATTGTTCCCTTTCAAACCATGGTTGTTGATGAGGAAGACGTCCTCCGTGCTCGAGAACGCATCAACCGATGGTTCAATAATCATATTAGACACAACTCCCGACGAGTTTTACGAGGTCGATCCCGCCGTGCACGCACCGCCGCCGGACCAGTAGAGCCGTATTGGACGGTCAATGAGCTTATGGACTCTGTTTTGGAGGAGTTGGATGATGTCTTGAATAACGCGTCACGTGTTGAGTTGATCCACGTATAAAGGGTGAGCAGAGATGTACTGAAATGAATAGAAAATTTTAAATTTTTGGGCTAACCACCCTGACTTTTTTTTTTTTTTTTTTTTTTTTTTTTTTTTTTTTATATTTGTTATTTTTAGCTATGAAGTAATGACAGACAGCAGTTGGAGAGCATTATAATGTACAGTGTGTTTATTTTAAGGAAGGATACTTTCAGCAACGCTGATGAAATATTTTCACCTGCGGTGCTGCGTACCGTCTTTTTAATGGGGTCCCATCTAGTTCTTCAAGGACGTAAGAGCCGGATTTTTCTTGAGATATCACTCGGTAAGGGCCGTTCCAGCGATTTTCAAACAGTTTTCCCCATTGGCTTTCGAGGGATCTATTGTAGACCAGTACTAACTCACCAGGACTAATGGGTCCCCGGTCCGCTTTTTGTTTGTTCCAGGATTCCACAGATTTTTCGCGTGTCTCCTTCAATTTCTTGTAAGCTTTTTGAAGAGTTTCTTCCCGTCTTTCAAGTTGATTAGCCCGTGCTGACAAGAGGTCCGCTGTACTTGTTACTTCCTCCCAGTCTGTCCCTAAAAATGTTTCCATTTCTAGATCAATAGGTAGAACTGCCGGTTGTCCAAATACTAGTTCGTAGGGCGTGTAGCCAGTTGTACGCTTGATTGAAACCCTATCTGCAAATAAAACAAGTGGCAAAAAACTTCGCCATTTCTTTCCATTCGTTCCGCACATCTTGACTAGTGCGTCTTTAAGTGGCTGGTGACCGCGTTCTACCATACCGTTGGCTTCTGGATAGTAAGGGGTGGTTATCTTAACTGTGGATCCTCCGCGGGCTATGGTCTCTTGGACTTCTTTTCCGAATTCAGAGCCTCCATCCATGACGACTACACATGGGGCGCCATACCGTAAGATCCAGTTTTCTTTGAACCAGGAAGCAACTTTTGCTGCCGTAAGTTTTTCGAGGCCTACTGCTTCTACCCACCCAGACAGATCATCACGGGCAACGAGAAGGTATTTCCAGCTACCGGCTTTAATATGAACTGCGTCCATGCTGACTCGTCCAAAGATAGTATTCTTACCAGTGGCGTGTTTGTGCTCGAGAGGTTTGACCAGACTACGCTTTTGACAGGCCTCGCAAGATTGAACCCATGCGCCAATGTTTTTCTTCATGTTAGGCCACCAAAATCGTAACTTGCAGCGTCTATAAGTTTCTTCCACACCTCGATGGCCTAATTCTTCGTGGAGCGTTTCCAGGACAAAGTCTTGATTATTCTTGGAAGATATGACAAGCTGAGGAAATGGTGTGTTCCTCCTTTTTAATTTACCATCTGAAATAAAAAAAGTGGCTGATTTCTTCAAAATGGTCGCCCATTCTTCTTCGGTGCAGTCCTCGGGTCGATTTAAGGTGAACAAATATTCTTGGAGCTTGGCCCAAATTCCTTCCTGAAGGAACTGCGTGTTGGCCACCCCCAAATTCAAAGAATTGACCTCTTTCAAGCCAAACCCTGCGTGTGGTTTCACCCAAGATTCGTCTTCGTCAAATTCGGTAGCAGTCGGTTCGTCGTCGTTGGGCGGGCGTCGAGAAAGACCATCTGGCATGGTAAATGTTTTTCCAGGAACATGTTTAAGGTCGAACGAAAACAGTTGGATAAAAGCTACCCAGCGGGTCATTGGCGCATTCGGAAGGGATGGAGAATTAATCATCTCGATGAGGCTTTTAGCATCGACTAATAGCTCGAAATGTTGACCCCAAAGTTGTGATTGTAATTTTTTTAGAACCTTGGCTACCCCGCAAAGTTCGAGTTTGGACTGAGAATATCGTGACTCCACTGGCGTAAAAACCACTGATTCGTAAAGCACCGGGCGGTCCCGGCCATCCACTTCTTGAGTGAGTACGGCTCCTGCAGCAATGTAACTGGAATCTACCGCAAGCTTAATTTTTCCTCCTTTGTCAGAGTAATCAATTTTCTTCAGTGTTATGTCCTGCCCCACGATTTTTTTCAGAGCGTCGAAAGCAGCTTGGCAGCCGTCCGTCCATTCCCATTCTGCGTCCTTTCGTGTGAGTTTTCGCAACGGAGCTGCCAGTTTGGAGAAGTCCTGGATAAACATTCGTACGTAGACACAAACTCCCAGGAAACCTCGAACTTCCGTGGTATTGGTTGGAGTCGGCCAAGTCAGCACTTTGTTAAGCTGTTTCTTTGCAATCCTGCGCCCCTCTTTACAGACTACATGGCCTACAAGTTCCAGAGCTGGGACACAGCAAGCAAACTTCTTTCCCGAGATGGTTAAGCCAGCTTCTTCAATTCGAAAGAGGACTCGTTCCAGAATGACGGCATATTCCCAAATAAAGCGGCGAATTCCGGAGTTTTCGGTCAACTTTTCTTGATTATAATCCGAGACAGGTCCTTTAATTCCGCCGTCGTCGATGAATATTCCCACGTTTTCCGGTATTTCTTCTTGAAGAATCCACATCATCTGGGATTGGTAAACGGCAACTGAGTTGGTGGCTCCCTGTGGTAATCTGGTAAGTTGGAAACGGCCTAAAGGGGTTTCGAAGGTTGTCAAAGGTCGAGAGCTGATGTCTAATTCTCGTTCGTCATAGCCGCCCATAATGTCGCCAAGCCCGTAACAAGCTCGGCCGGTGAATGATTCAATCAAATCCTCTGGTGCGGGGGGCAATCCTGCGTCTTTAATTGTGACTTTATTTAATTTTTGAAGGTCGTGGACCACTCGGAGCTTTCCATCCTGTTTCTTGACGCAAAACACTGGACTTGAATAGCTGGAACAAGATTGCTCATAGAGTCCGGTTCGAATCCGTTCTCTAACCAACTCAATGAATTGATCTCTTATGGCCTGGGCAATAGGAATTGGTCTTTGTTGCCACGGCTCATGGGCAATTACTGGGATGATGTAAGGTTTACCGTATGAATGTTTCAGTAACCCCCTCTCTTCTTCTACAAAGGCTAAGGCACCTTCTCGAAGCTTGATGACGTGCTTGAGCAAATTTAACTCTTCATCTGAAAGCCAGCCGGTCGGTCCGAAATTTACGACTTTAAGGCGTTCCTCAGTTATTTTAGCAGTAGGCACAAATTCTGGGGGATAAGGCGTGAGTGGAGTAGTGTAAGGATCCCGAGATAGAACTGGAAAACTAAGTGGGGTATTGATATTTTGGGGCATAGGTTCGTTGACCGGTTTTACTTTCTTTGCTGCGGATTTATACTTGGCTGCGCAGACTAACACTCCGTCGCTACGTTGCATTTGTTGTTCAAAGACATTCTCTGATGATGCATCACTGGAGGCTGTTACCACGTTTGAAGTTGTAGTTACGTTCGTAGGAAAGGTTGTCTCATATTCTTGATTAGCCGGAGTAATAATAGGAACCAAGTAAACTCGTCCTTCGTCGTCTTTTATGGATAGACTCTCCCCGCCTTCTCCTGCGTACCGCATAGTTGCTGATACGTCGATTAGGAAGGGTTTACCTAAGATAGGTTGCACGTCTCCGGTGGATACCCAGAAGTGGACTTTTCGAGAGATATTTCCAATTTTAACGCGTACTGATTCGGCTATCCCAAGGATTTCGTTCTTGTGACCACCGATTCCTTTAAGGTTCATTTTCTTTTCCGTAACGATGAGGCCCAGGCGTACCGCAAGATCCTTCGGGAGTACATTCACCATGGAGCCGTTGTCCAGAAGCGGTTGGACTTCCTTACCGTTTATACCTACCTTTATGTGGCCCAGCGGGCATGCGTAATGGGACCTGCGTGGAGCCTCCGTTTCTTCCTCTTCGTCGTCGTCTGAGTCCACTCCTCCGGCGTTAGTTACCTTTTCTGGTGGGCCGCCCTCGATTGGGACCTTTCGTCGTGAAATCTTCTTTTTGAAAGCTTCGGAGACGCCATTGGAGATCGCAAAAATTTCACCATAAGAGAGTTCCATTTTGCCTTCCAAGACCATTCGTTGGACAACTCGTTCTTCGGCTTCGGGAAACTCTTTAGACAAGGTCTTTTCTAAGTAAGTTTTCTTGGGCACTTTTTCCTTTGCTTCTGGTGTGGAGACTTCTGGTTTCTTGAACTGGACTTTCTTTGGTACCTCTGCCGCCGCTTTCTCCAGATGCTCTTTGTACCCTGGGAATAGGTCGTGGTTGTCTTGTCGTGCCAGCTCGGTAATCTCTTCCTCGACATCCATTAAGTCTTCGCTTTCCTTTCGAGTTTTCTTTGGGGCCGGAGTCTCAGAGACCTCCTTTCCGCTCCTCAACCGTTTGGCGGCGTCAACATCGTAAGAGCTAAGTTTTTCAGGGGTGCACTCTTCCAATTTACCGTAAGAAGTGCGGATTTCTGATGTCGGTTCCTGCTTTTTAATTTCGGTTCCCGGAGGAAGGTTGATGATTCCCGGGGTCTGTGATGGCGTGCAGTTCTTATCCACGACTTCTTTTATGGCGCGTGACCTGTCGGGCTGTACTATGGTTCCATTAGGAAGTTTGAGGTCCTTTCCTTCACGGTAAACTTTCTTGTCGAATTCGTCCTGGGCGAATAAGCTACATCGATACACCGTGTGTTTATCCCCGAAGCAATAATGGCATTTTAAGGTCGACGGTGGTCTCTCGTATTGCGCCGGCCTGTAGGGTACGTGGCTGGCTGATATCACGGGGCCTTTCTGGACGTTCCATCCTGCTAAGGTCTTGGTTAACTCCTCGACAGCTGGATCCTTTCGTGGCGTATTCACTGGGGCTCGTGGCGGCGCTGGTTGATTGGCGGCCGGTTGCTTTGCCGGGGGATCCTCTCCTTCTAAGATTGAGATGGTCTTGAGTTCACGACTGATATATTCCATAATCGTTAGGTACGGCGGCAAAATGTGGGATCCATCCACCGATAAGCGCATTTGGTTATCTCTGATAAGTTCCTTTGTGACTGAAACCTTAATTGGATGGACCAGGCAGTTTAATACGGCGTGTCGAATTTCCTCTGCGTTACCCATGTGTTGGCACCGGACGAGGTAAGCCACCAAGTTATCTATCTTGATACGGAAATTTTGGAACTCCCTTTGAGTCTTGATACCGGATGCGCGTGTCGTTGCTAGGAGCTGATCCAAATCGTTCCTCGTATGTTTCAGGAGCGGCATCATCTTACCCCAACGTAGCACCATCCGTTCTTTCAATTTTTCCCAGTCGTGGTTCTCCTTTTCGGCCATTTCCTGAACTTCTTTTACCAAAGTCTCGCCTTCGAGGAAGAAAATTATCTGAAGCGCAATGTCGGATCCTAGGGCGCCATCTATCTGTGCGGCGTATTCCAGGCGCTTAATAAAATCGCTGATGTCCATGTTAGTACCGTTGAACATTAGTCCTTTAGATTGGGACTTAATCTTGACTGGTTTTCGTCCGAATGGCTCCGGGTTATACGCCGGCAGCACGACACGACTTTCCAAAAAATGAGGACTTGGTAGTATATTCCCTGCTTGGCCATGACTCGGGAAACCGTGACCGGGCAATCGAGATCCTGCAGAGTGCTCTGACAACGCCGGGTTCGCAGTTGGGCCATCTGAAGACGAATTTTCCGAGACGTTGTTTTGGTCGCGGAATGGTCCGGGGTTGAGAGGTAAGTTGTTGGATAATTGTCCAATATTGGACGAGTAGAGGTTTATAGGAACTGGCTGGTTACGGTAAGACATTTCTAGAAGCTATGAAGTAAATCTAATCTAATTTTTGTGTGTTCTTTTATGAGTTTTGAAGTGCGGAAAAAAAGGCGAGAGATAGTGATGATAGTAATGTAAGGAAAAGATTTTTTTTTAAGGGTTTTGTATCTTAAGATTGTAATGGATAACCAAAACGTGACTGTTTAATCTAGAGATCGTCAGGCCACTGTTGGGACACCACTTGTGGAACTACCCGGTGGGATCAGATAGAGTGTGGAAGGGTAAATGCGCCGTGAATAAGGCTGCCCTCCGGTAAAAGGTGATAAGGTAGTAGACAAGGAGAGTTCAAATACTCTCTGAAGATGTGGCGGACAATTTCTGACTAGCAAGGTGTGATAATATTTTCTAAGTACTTTACCTGAGGACTTTACCTGAGGACTATGACTAAGGACAATAACTAACTAAGTGACCAGGCTGAGCACGTCAGGGAACTGATGAGGGAACAAATGATGAGGGGAAAACATGGCTCCTTATATACAAAATCTGGGGAGTGGCCAGCTTGTGGTTTGAGAAAAGGATCAAGTGAAAAATATCAAACTGAAACACTACGGCCCAGAAGATGGCTGCTAAGACCAATGAGGACACAATGACATAGCCTGCTTTCCCAAAAGGGTGCATAAGTCTGAGACGCGCATAGCCACATGTAGGAGCATGCATAGAAGTAAGAGACTAATCCCCAAGTGGGTGCATTAGTGTGAAACAGAAAGATAAGAGAAAGAGGAGTGCATATGCAGCAGCTCCAGAAAGAAAAAGAATGAAACAAGAGAAAACAAGGAGGGTTCCTAATACCCTGGCTCTGTCTGAGGGGTGACTTTCTTCCCCCCACGTGTGGTCTGGGTGCCTTGAGATTTCTATCTTGAGGACCAAGGTGTTTGGGCCTTCCTGTCCTGATTGTACGGCGCATTGAGGCATTGATGTTTTGATTTGGCTTACCACACCGGTCCAGCTCGAAGATCGAGTCTGTTTGGATGATCCGCTCGTCCATTAAGCCATACAGCGTGGCGAATAGATTTATTCAGGAAAGCGAGTGCCTTTATGTAAAGGAGAAGGGCTTGCCTGGCGGCGGGAGCGAGTTGACCAGAGGGAGGTTTAGAGGGGGCGGAGGAGGGAGTATTGAGAGTCGAGGAATGATGGAGATTGTAGCAGGAAGAAGAAGACGTAGAAGGATCAAAAGAGTGATACGAAGAAGGTGACGAGGTGATGAATGCTCCAACCGGTCCTGAGAATGTCGCGGGATTTGAAGTCGAACTTGTAGAAGGGCCTAAGGCAGAAGGCAGAGGGGGCAAGATAGCCGCGAGTTTCTGTATCAAAACTTCGAGGGGACGAAGGGTGGGGGCCGTAGTGACCTTGACTGGAAGGCGAGGAACGACCGAAGTTGGCAATGTTCATCGGGTGAGAACCTGTCGGGACCGGCGAGGCCGTCATGGGGTGCGGCCTAGGAGGGAAGGACAAGACCGGCGACCTGTGTGAATGGGTTGCTAACGACGGATGCGGAGGAGAGCCACTCGAAGTCGTCCGATGTGGCAACAAACTTAAGCCCGTCAGTGTTGGCTTGGCCACCATGAAGCCACGCAACATTCGTCGACCCAAGCTCATCGGCTTCTGCGGTGATGAAGATAAACCTACATCAAATCTATCGACAAATCATCAAAAAAATGATGCCTCTGTGGTTAGTGGAGGAGGGGTTGAATAACCTCTATTCTTTCATTTTTATGAATCTTTTAAGCATTCCAGCAAGAGACTGACCATCCACCATGGCATTAATCTCCACCGACCCCTTCTCAACAACGATGTATTCTGTGCCCAAGTCCCGATCCTCATCCTCCTCAGTTTTGAAACAATCCGGATCCCTTTGGGCCGACGATGGTCTCAGAGTAGCGTAGTCCGGTACCGCCAGATGGTGGGGTTGGTGCTTGGTTGCCATCTGCTTGCCTCCTTCGAGTTCTGATTGGTGTGGGTCTTGATCTTCGCCAAGGCCTTGTTGATAGGATGGGAAGAAGAAGAAGAAGAAGAATGAAAGAAAGAAAGAACATTACCTCAGGATGTCAAGCTGCCGATGAAGTTGGCCAACCAATGCAGTGAACGACTACAGATGAGCTTTTGAGAAGATTCGTTTGGTGATTCAGTTTTTATTGTCTCAGGTTCTAGGGGAGGGGCTTACCTCGATATGTGGATTGGTATCACAATACCGGATTGAAGGTATTGATATTCAGAATCCAGGACAGGAAATACGCCTGTCTTGGATCAGCTGCTAGAATCCCGAACTTTGAATACCATGTATTCAGTCGGGATCGTCATTCGATAACAATCCGAGATATCGGGGTGTATCAAATCCAGATACCCCCGAATACCGATACTCGTCTCATATCGGTGGCAGCGTTGCTGGTGGTACTCCTGGTGGGTACCGCCCGGCTGCCGGAGATTCTTCCAGGCGACCTGGTTGAGACCAATCAGGTCGCCAAGGAGGGTCCTTACTGGCGACCTGATTGGTCTTGATCAGTTTGCCAAGGAGGGGTCCTCTCCAGCAACCTGTCCGAGACCAGTTAGTCTCGGTCAAGCCACCAAGGAGGGGGTTTGGAGGCGGGTCCCCTTAAAGGTACCAGGGTACCGCCTGATTTTTTGCCCAAAAGCAGGCACCAAGTAGGCTGATGTAAGCAAAACACTCTGGACTGTTTTGCTTATGTCAGCACGCCGGTGACTCTTTCCTCCCGGCCTTCAAGACCTGTACAAGTCTTGATGGCCGGGAGGAACCCCTCCCAGCCATCAATACTGTACAAGTCTTGATGGCTGGAAGTGTCAGCTTGCTACTATAGCAGAGACAACCTGTCATAGTACACAAACATAATATAAAATACAAAAAGACACTATTACTCACCAGAGATGTTTTCTAGTACTGAAAATAAATGAGAAGATCAAATAATAAGGGCATTATTTCTCAATATTATTAATCTATATGGAGAATAACCTATGGTACCTCACTCAAAGGTACCCTATATTTCAGCTACTTCATGTGGCAAATCTACATTAAAGACATAGGGTGTACCTCCAAGCAGGAAATGAAATATGCTTATGTTTATAATTAAATATGCTAATAAACAGGTTTAAGACTTGAAACTGATTTGCTGTTTCAAACATGCATTTGTATATTGATAACACGTGTGTGGCACATTTCCAAGGAAATAGCCACATGTTTCAGCTTTCATCTTCTACAGAACACCTGTGGCACATTTCCAGGGATATTGTCACACGTTTCAGCCTCCATGCATGAAGTGCCCACAAGTTGACCCTTATCTCCCAGATGCCTCCACGGGTATATAAAGAGCCCTCTGTCCCCCCAAATAAGGATTCCTCAGATTATTACAACCCACTTTAGATTACCCACCGTCCCAAATGCTTAACATTTGTATCTGTCTGGTAATGTATTGTCTCTTGCTTTAATTCTCTGTCTATCAGAACCTCAAGACTTAAGGGGCTTTATTAGTACATAGTGCCCCCTTCTTTCTTGAGATTCTTACTACTTTCTTCTGGGATTTAAACCACCCCTGTTAAACAGGCCCCAGTGTTATCAGGTACCTAAATCCTCTGCTTTTGCACGATACCTTTGAGGGATTAAACAACCCCTGATTTATCAGGCCCCTCTGTTTAAATTATATCAATATTTATTGATATAATTATTCATTTCTACTATCTAATAACCTTGTAATTACCAATCATCATTGGAATTACCACCCAAACTCTGCAGTTCCAGAGCTCGAACTCTGTCATCTTAAGTTTTGCACCACGTGTAGCTAGAAGATTTACCATCTTGGCATCACGGTGGCTGACAATTGGGGGTCTGGCCGGGAACTTTTCCTTCAAACCCATTTGAAAGAAAAAAGACCCAATTAATGTTTACCATTAATAAAAATCATTAAGAATATCAAACACTTCCATGTGTGGTCTAAAAACAAAGAGATTCAACGATATAAGACCCATCTCCTGCTCTTATCACACGCCTCTGGTGCATCATCGAAGTCACCATTGTGACTCTCTTGCCAACTTATAAAACCTGCCTTAAAAAGACAACTATCCATCCATCTTCATTCTTGCGGGCTCCAAAATCCATGGGGCAAAAAGGAACTCAAACTACCCTCCGACTCCGTTGCTTCTCAAAGAAGATCTTCATCCTCTGTCTTATGCGTAAACTAGTTGGGCACATTACGTTTACAGTCATCTCCCCTACTTCTTCCCACCAAACATCAAGACCAACAATTGATGTCTAACTACTCAGCAACCACAGGAGGCTAATTCAATCACCCTACCTCGTCCCGCTCGGCATCCTCATTGCATATGAGATGACCCTCTGGCGCGGGCCGTGATTGTCCTCTGTCTGGCCGAGGCCCACAGCTTGGCTCGTGGCATGGTGCCGGCGGCGATCCATCAGCATACAACCACTCAAAACAGTCCTCAGCCAACACGCCCTGGAACGCCCCCACAAATTCCTCTTCAAACTCTCAACAGTCGCTGACCCAGCAGGGCCAAGGTTGCCAAGACAAACCATATCCACCACAATCAGGTCCCAAGGGAGATGGTTATGCGACCGTCGAGGAGCTTAGAGAACAACATGGGGTTGTTGTGCATGCGAGTGTTGAGTCGTTTCACTTCGACTACTGGTTCCACCTCCGAGCACACTTCAGTCGGATCTCAGAAGACGGTCGGGATGGGCAGACTACCATCCTGGCACTCTACTGTCTCTACGAAGATTTCTATGACTTCCAGGCTACACTCATCGATATCTAGCACAAAGAAGACAAATAGCGGGATTGGATTCAAGAAGACTGCCCGACGACCTCAGACAATCCAATACAACCAGAACAATTTCTGTGTATACCTCAAGTACTGGAAACGAGTCGCCCAACAGGCTTGTGAAGAAAAACTAAAAGCTCCGACTTCAGTTGAAGGAAGCCCAAATGTCTAAAATCAAAGAGGCCATTGAATTTGAACAACACAATTAATGATATGGGAATAAGTCTATCCCTCGATAATGAATCTTTTGAGATTCTCTAGTCAGTCATCACCCAGTCTCAGTCAAGAGCCCTGATCATCTCCACAATCACACAATCTCTATCCCCCCTTAGCATCAACCCATACTGCTCTTGATCTTACTAGCTGATCATCTAGTCCATCAGCTAGACAGAAACGGCTGGCTTCTGCCCGCAGTAGCGATTGCAGTACACTTTGGAGTCAATTGTTTAGAGTTATGAATCAATCCATCAATTCAAATTTACTTTGCCTTCCTTCCAAGCTTTAATCTTTTCGACCAGTTCAGGTCTCTTCTTCTGGTTGACTGAGATGAATTACTTGTATATCTCTTCTTTCACACTTGCTATTTATTCTATCCTAATCAATCAAAAGAGAGTGTGTTTTACTTTGATTCAAAGTGCCAACAAATCCAACAGCTAGCAATCGATTAAAATATGGTGATTTCAAAAGCAAATGAGGCCCTGAATATGTACAGACATCATCGGGTAATTGATAGCAAGCATCATACTCAGTAGAAGACATGGTCTTGACGATCAATTGAGAAAGCAGGATTGATTGAGAAAGCACGATCATTGATTGAGAAAGCACTATCGAAACGATCAAGAACGATTAGGTACCCTGCCGGCCATGAAATTGAGCAACAGATGGTCTATTGTCTTGTTCATTGTCATCGTGACTGCATTGAAGCCTTTTTTATACCTACATCCAGCTTGTCCTATCAGCACTGCACCACACTAGAGCACCTCTCTTTTTTCCTCTTCATGTTCTCTCTCAATTCCTATCGAGGATTTTATTTGATTAATGCACACTTCTGTTTAATACGGCAATCGAAAGAGAGATTGAATTGATTGGGCAACCGCTGAGTCAACTTCAAGCACAGTCGGAAAATCTTGAAACAAAGCCATGCTCACTAGCTAAGGATCAGATGATTTGGTTGAACACTCAAGACAAATTCTTGTGTTCCAGTTAACTATCTTATTCCTATCAACCGATCTACCACGACAGCTGCTCAACTCATCATCGAGTCTATCAGCTGAACAGAAACAACTGGCTTCTACCCACAGTTGCACATTGCGATCATACTATAGTCCGATACAGCTGATTGAAAAGGAGTCCCTAATGCTTCCGATTAACTCAACAACTTTGGATCCTAATAAATCCAGGTTCTCGATCCCAAATATCAAGGGAAAGTCATCTATCAAGCCTTTTGAATTGATACCGGAATCAGCTAGGCTACATAATGTCATTAAGATTAAATACCAAGGACTGGGTTTACCTTCCGATGAATCAACCAAGACAGAATAAAACTTATGAAGATAAGTGTTTTTTTTTCTAGTTGACAGCCTTTTGGCTTTACAACCTGCACCCCGATTCCCAGAACATTTGCAATTCATCAAAGAAGTTCATCGCTGTCCTCATAATCTACACCCAATACTTCACTTGCGTTGATGATCAGAAACTCATGCAAGATACAGGTAGGAATAGCCATTAGAAAAGCTTTGTCATGTACTTTAAAAAGGTTTCCCTTGGCTTTCTGGGCTATCCAATTGATTCTGTTGGATTGCTACCAACCTCTTTCACCATATTTTGAGCTCATCCAACCGGCAATGCTTGAAATCGCGATCCTACAGGCTAATCATCTAGTCCATCTACTCAACTTATTTCATGTGATCTCTTTTGTGACCTTCAAAAATATATCTACATACTCTGAGCAGCTGCCAAAGTCTTGGTTAGAAACCAATTCAAATATAATGATTCCAAAATCACAGGAGGCCCTGAATATGTACAGACATCATTGGGTGATTGATAGCATACATCGTACTCAGCAGAAGACCTTGGTATTGACAATTGAGTGAGAAAGCATGATTCAACCAATCAAGAACGATTACCCTGCCTACCATG